ATGTGATCAATCACAACCATCATCATCACCCAGTATACTAACATTGATCAATCAATCAATCAACTTAAACAGAAAGGTTGCTCAGGCCAAGACTGGATTCAAGTCTGCTGGCGGTCGCGGTGGCGCTCGTGGTGGTGCGCCAAGAGGAAGGGTTGGACGTGGTGGCAGCTTTGGCGGTGGCGGCCGTGGTGGCAGCTTTGGTGGTGGCCGTGGAGGTGGCCGTGGTCGTGGAGGATACTAAGCGTCCCACAATGGTGGACTGCAACCTTCCAAAGAAAATAAATCAAAGCCATAGTTACTCAAAAACATAACATTGATTGATTGATTGGAATGATTGATTGGAATGATTCCAAAGTATACACTCTATCAATTGTTTATTGCATTTGGAACAATCTGTAACCGACAACAGTGTTGTACTCATAGTAGAGTCTGGAGAAACCTGGGTCGTTGACGTAGATCTTGGTGTCACCACTGTCGTAGCCAGTGGCCAGGACAAAGTGTCCACCATTGTCAACGTTGAGTATGACGATCATGTCCTTCTTGTTGAGCAGGTTCTTGATGTCATCCATAGAGAGTGCCGTGCCATTGAGCAGGGGGCCGTCCCACTTGATGTCCGATGAGATGCCTGGCACAACACTCTCGATCAAATCGTTACCAGAGGTGTAGCCACCATTTGACTTGAGCCAAGAGTTCAAGGTGCCAGGGTTTGATGACTGTCCATCGATCTCAATACCATGACCAGCAATGGCCATCGAGATTGAACTCATCAAACAACCTACATCACATACAGTTGTGGTCTCAATGATATCATTGCCCCACCTTGGGTCACACTGTGTTTGTTTGTTTGATTGATAGTGGTTAGTGGAATAGTTCCAGTGTTTGTGTGTGTGTGTGAGGAGGAGTGATCAAGGATCATACCTGTTTGTAGAGTGGATAGGCAAATGGTACAACAGGTCCGGCAGCATTGGAGAGAGCCACCAACAGAGTAATTGCAATTATGATTTTGATCATCATCGTTGATTGATTGATTAATAGATTAGATTGTTATTTGTATGAAATAATACAATAATATTGTTTAGTACGATTGTATTGTGAATGGTGTACGAAGGTAGATACGATACAATTGTGCGTCCTTTAAACAACTTGTCGCCTCCATCTTAAGATGGTTAACAATCTGTGATGATATTTTTGATCAAAAAGAAATATCTTTGTGGTCCGCCCCATTGGACCCAATCTGGTCAGTCTTGTACCATTTTAATTCAAAATTACACAATCACAAACAAGACAATCATATGAACAACATCTCATCAATTTGTATGTTTATATATATTTATATTACTCTAAGTGTATAACAATCAAACAAACAAACAAACAATCAAACTATCAATTACCTCTAATTAATCATCACCCTAATCATAAAACCACAACAAACCTTATTCAAACCAAAAGATATTATAATAGTTCGAGCTATTTATACAGTATTCAGCGACGATTAATGAGTTTGAAAGAGCTGTTTGGTTTGATGAACCGATCCAATCAAATTAGGTACGATCATCATGTGATGTGTTTAAACTCTTTTGATGCCACACCAAGTGTGATACAGACCCACCCATTCGTTAAATCTCCTCTCCTTTGCATCGGCAACAACAACAACAACATCAACAACAAACTCTGAAGCTGTGTTTATGATGACACAAATTTAAACAATAGTTAGAAGTTGTTGGTCACAAGGAACCCAAAACCATCATCCATCGAGTGCTCCACGCAAATCAGACTGAGTTTAAATTTGGGTGGACCATTCGCGCTCGCCTTGGGTATTATCCTGCTCAGTTTGAGTGGGGGTGGCAAACTTAGCCAATCAGGTTGACAAAGGCCTTTGAGCTAAATTTTA